AAGCTAAAAATTCCCTTGCAAGGAGAAGGCACCATTAAAAGAAAGTGCTCAAGGTGCGGTTCCACAGGCCACAGTAAAACCACATGTAAAAATAATGTTCCACTGTGCAATATATCTTAGACAATATAATTTATGTTGCTTTGTTAGGTAATGTCAACTTTAATTTTATTTGTGGTGGGTTTCGTGTTTGTTGAATGTGAATTGTGTTAAATTTGCATAATTTGGGTTGCATTGCTATACAGCATGCTGTGTTCCCTATTTATATTGACAGTATCACTATCGTATTGTAATTTTATTGTCTTAAGATTGTTATTATATTGTACTTTTAATATACTAGTATTGCTATTGCAATGTAAACTGTGTAAGTACGAAATTAAAGGGCATGGAATGTAACTCAAAATGGTTCCACAACATTAAAGTCCTTACAATGCAATTATGACGCAGTTACCGTGATACTCCTACTACACCTTCTTTTGTGATTACAAATTCAGACGATGCATGGGGCAAATGTGGGGCAAATACAAGTGAAATGTCCTATGTGTTTGACTGTATATAGTTGTTGAAGGAGCATTACGACTGTTAAGCCCAACAGATTCCTCATGTCTTGCCAAAAACACCCTTGAATTGATGCAATATGCCCAAGCTAGTCCCAAAGTTGGACTCACCCGTCTGCCTGATGTATGCAAGCACTCCAAGTTTCCCAACCTCACCTCATTGATTCCATGATTTGGCCCAATAAAATCCACTACTTGGTTGGTGACAACCATCGCCAGCTCAGACTTATTTGCTAAAGCCTTCAATGTCCCGGATATCCTGAAAAACATTTCAGACCGGTGTTTCAAATCTGCCGGTGTTGTTTCATATTGTCGTGTCATTGATTGTAATTTAGGGGGGATATGATGGTGGTGCAAGGCATGAATTGTATATATAGAGTCCATATTGAAGGTGTGTAATGTAGGCCATATGTCTTTTAAGGGATGTATAAGTCAATCAAATGGTAGAGTCTGATGCAGTGCCTACTGCAATAGGATCCTATTGTAACTGTATTGTGCTCTTATTGATATCATATTGCCATTATACGCATGGTTATTGTGGAGTTATTGACACTATAATCGTTTGAACTGGACAGAGATAAAGGAAACTGTATACGCACAATTACAAAAAGAGGCATCATAATTCCATCAAATCCAATTTCGAAACTTACATAATACAACAAGTGCCCGCCCCATAGTTACCTAATACAAAAGAGGCCACCTCATAGTTCCATTTTACAGGCTATTTCCACTACATTTTACAGTCTCCAAAGTCATATTAATGTGTCAAAAGTTTCTTGCTGTTGACACATTTGGACCCCGCCCACAGTGATGTTGTTCTAGTTTCCTTATGGATCCACTATTTTTGCAAACTTGCAAAATAGTTCGAATCCGATTTCCACTTGTTTTTGCTTCAACTAGGCCATTTCGTTAGATTCCTTGAATACCATAACTGCAGTGGCAGAGGCGTTTTCAATTTTGCTTTCATACCCTATATATGTAGGAGATGCATGTGGGCATGATAACAAGAGCGAATTGTGCGCTTTTTTATGACACCTCACCTAGCTTGGCCCTCCAAAAAATTTGAAACTATGTTTGCATGGATATTTTTCCAAAACATGGTATTGTCTCGACATTGCTACAGTCCATGGACTAAGTCTGCAGTCAGTGAACCGTGTACTTGATCTCAAACTAGACGAAGAATTGAGTAATAATGTTGCCAATCCTACACCTTTGCATAAGCTAAGGTCAACAATCTCTAGGGAAGGTTTTAAGGGTTTTGAATCTAGAAAATATGTCATGAATAATGTGCTTAGTGCTTTGAGGAATGAAAAGACAAGAATAATTGGGATTTGCGGGATGGGAGGCGTGGGTAAAACCACAATGGTAAGAGAAATCATCAAGAGATTACAAGGAATGAATAAGCTGTTTGATGATGTTGTGATATCAGCTGTCTCCGCAACTATAAGCATTAGGACAATTCAAGTTGAAATTGCAGAGTCACTCGATATGAAATTGGTTGAGGAAAGTGAATCTATAAGAGCACAAAGACTACATGAGAGAATCAAGAAGAGTAAAAGAATCCTGATTATATTGGATGATGTATGGTCAGAGGTTAAATTTGAGGATGTAGGAATCCCTTTTGGTGATCATGAAGGGTGCAAAATTTTGTTGACATCTCGAAATGAAGAAGTTTGTAAAGTAATGGGTTGTAAAGATGACATTTTTGGAGTCCAAGCCTTAAATAAAGAAGAAGCATGGGAGCTTTTCAGGGCGACTGTAGGTGAATCCTTGGACAATAACCATGATTTGTCTCATGTTGCAAAATTGATTGTTGATGAATGCAAAGGTTTACCCATTGCTATCATAACTGTTGGGAAAGCTCTTCTACCAAGTAATGGCAAGCATGAATGGAATACTGCTTTGCAAGAACTGAAAAATTCAGTCCCTGAAAACATCCCTGGAATGGAACCCGAGGTTTATTCTTGCATAAAATTGAGTTATGATAAATTGAGTAGTGATGAAGTCAAGTCATGCTTTTTACTTTGTTGCTTATTTCCAGAAGATTATGATATTCCAATTGAGTATTTGGTGAGGTATGGGTCGGGTCGAGCAACTTTTAGAAACACCAACACAATCAAAGATGTAAGAAACAAAGTGCATTCTTTCATTGGACAACTAAAAAGAAGGTATTTGTTGCTGGATAGTCTCAAGGAAGAGTGTATCAAAATGCATGACATAGTTCGTGATGTTGCTATATCAATTGCCTCAAAAGATCCTCATAGATTTATGGTACTATCATTTGATGCTGAAGGTGGAGGTGGAGGACGGCCAGGAGTACAAAAAGTTACAAACCAAGAACATTGCAGTGCAATTTCGTTAATTGATGTTAAATTGGATGAAAATATTATTGATGGTTTGGAGTGCTCCAAACTTGAGCTTCTGCAACTGAAACATTCCTCAAGTAGTTCAGAATATTCCAACCACTTTAAAAGGACGAAAGAACTCAAGGTTTTAGCTTTTTTAGAGGTGAATATGTCAAGCTATTTGGCCTCGGAAAAATCTCTACTGCTTGGAGAACCCAAGTACCTTCATACCTTGTGTCTAGAGGATTGCAATTTGGGAGACATATCCCATGTTATTGGAGGATTGGTGAATTTGGAGATCCTCAGCTTTGCTCGCTCTCAAATCAATAAGTTGCCTAGAGAAATAGGACTTCTTCATCGGTTAAGGATGCTGGATGCAACAGATTGTGAAGGACTTGAAGAAATTCCTCATGGTGTCTTATCCAACTTGAGGAGATTAGAAGAGTTGTACATGGCAGAAAGCTTTCTCAATTGGGGGCCAGCAACAGAAACCAAGGATGAAACGAGTATGGCAAGCCTTGATGAGGTGATGTCTCTGTTTGATCATTTAAATGTCGTAGCCATAAAAATCCCTGATGTTCAGATGTTGCGAAATGATGAGTTTCTTTTAAAAAGCCAGCCTACAAGATTTCACGTATCTATCAATCTTAGTTGGTCATACAAAGAAGAGAGTTTCAAGAATCGAATGTGCGGTTATCTGTTCGAAAATAGTTTGATGCTTCGTGGTGATGTAAAGGAATATTTGGAGATTGGAGCAGTTAGATACTTCTTGAAGCAATCTGAAGACTTAGTCCTATTTTACACATACAATTTAAAGTATGTCATCGAGGAGTTAGATGGTCAAGGAGGCTTTCAACACTTGAAAGTTTTATCAATCATGTGTGACGACAACATAGAGTATCTTATGAATGGAATGAATTGGACTCCTGGTGGTCAACCTGCCTTCCCCATCTTAAAGTCAGCTACCTTCAACAATGTTCACAAATTAAAATTTGTGTGTTGTGGCAAACTGTCAGACAAGCGCTCCTTTACGAACCTAAGATCCATTAAAATTGACAATTGTGATGAGTTAAAATATGTATTTTCAGTATCCATAGCACAAAACTTGGTACAACTCCAAAGCTTAAATGTTGAAAATTGTGCTAAAGTGGAAGATATCATATCAAAGGAGAGAATGGAAGATGATAATGCATCTCACAGGATAAGTTTCCCAAGATTAACTTTTTTGGAGCTTCATTTTCTACCAAAGCTCCGTGGTTTCTACACGGGAAACCAACGGGACTCCACCTATGAGGTATGTATGTATGCACTTTTGATGCTTGAATGGTATATACTTGTTACTCTTTTGAATATGCTACTTTTGTTGTGTTTAATACTGTCGTTCCAGTTCTAGAAGTTGATTTGGGTAGAACTTAATCATTTTTGGTATGTTGGAGATTTTTGATGGATTTCAATTTTTTGCAACTATTTTATAGATATTTAATAAAAAATTATCTCTGAAAAAATCACTTGAATCATATATCATTTGACCGCTCAATTAAATTATTGTGATTTTAGTACTTTCTTGAAGCATCGTATTCATCAATTTTGTAGAACATAATTAGATATCGAAATGGTTTCCGAATTGTCTAATTTTTTGTAAGTATAATCTATGAATATAGACTTGAGAAATAGGCAGTTTGGATAATTGAAAACCAATTTGTAGTGTGTTTAGAATGTCCCTTAATAGAAGGGGATTATATTTCTAAATCTTCACACCTATGATTTTCATTTGAAAATTAAGGTTGAGATGTCCTTAGAGTTAAAAATGTTTATTGGTAAATAGTAATTGAGGGTAGGAAAAGGGGATTATTATTATTTCTCAAAATTTATGACAGAGGATGTGGGAATATAATTAAGGCAATTTGGAAATAAGACAAATTGTGGAAGTTCATTACTTATGTATTTCTTTCTTTTTGGCTCATGTGTAAGTTCATTATTTATGTAGAATTAATTAATGTGCAGATTATAAAGCCCAATGATGAAAGTGTGAACAAGACGAAAGAGACTAGGAATGACATTCAAGTTGCTGGGTCGACCTCATCTAAAATTGCATTTCATGGTTAACAAATCTAGAGGAACTTGTTTTGGGGTATTTGACAAGCAAGCAAGAATTAGAAGAAAACAGTGAATCAAAGGACTCTTTGACAAGCGAGAACGGGTCAGAAGAACTAGTAG